CCTCCCAGCTGGCCGGGCAAATACCCTGGGGAAAGGGCAGGATGCTCCGGGGCCCCGTCCCAGCACAGCACTGCCCAGAGTCAGCTCTGGGGATGGTGCAGGCCTGGGTGGCAAAGGCCTGTGAAGGCAGGGAGCCAGTGACTGGTGCCACTTGGTGCTGTGCAGCGTCCTGCGGGCACGACACAAACGAAGCTTTGCTCGTTTGCAGCAGGTAGGAGCCAGCCGTGCAGGAGGCAGAGGCAAGCTGAGCTGTGAGAGCGGCACGTTTATTGCACTGTGTGCACACAGCCACCAGTACACCCAGGTCTTCACTCCTTTTCATGTTGTCCCTGGAATAAAACGGGCTTTTGTCTCTTTTTTTTCTTTTTTGGGGGGTGGGAGTGGTATTTTCTGAGCTGAGCTCAGGAACTGCAGACGTGTACATAACATATCTGTGTCAAAATTATGTAACGGCTCCATTAATATAAACCTTGCACAGCTGTAAGAACACTTACAAGCCCTTCACGTCTTATGCAATTGCATGGAAGCACGCAAAGAAAGTTAAGCCTAAAAAAAAAAAGGATACGGATTAAATTCATGCTAAATAAACAATAAAAAGACATGAAACCCGACGCCTAAATGCTCTTCCTTTTAAAGGCACAGCTGGCATAAAGCAGCTGAACGTCGGATTTAGCTACCCTCCTTCTAATTACAACCATACCTTTGTTTCAGCGTGCCCTTTGGTAGATCGCTTTGCTCGGAGAGGGCTCGAGCGAGCACCGACTCCCCCTGCGCCGCGGCGCGCGAAGCACGGCCGAGCATTACCGTGTCCGTGTGGAATGCGCCGAGCTGCGGCGCCTTCCAAGCACGGGGCTCCGCAGCAGGCTCTGGCGTTCCTGGAACAGCCTCCCTGCTCCTCAGCTCCAGGAACAGCCTCCGGTCCTCAGCTCCGAGGCCGTCAGCCACGCGGCCTTCTCCATAAGGAAGCGGATTCCCCTTTCTGGGACAGCAACTGGAATGGGAGAAATAGCAGGAGTTTGCTAATCCAACAGATCACTCCTGCTGGGCAAATTGTCTGCTGAGTTTTTTGGTCCTCAAATGATGAAAAAAAAAAATGAGAGAGTTCTAATGAGCTAAATTAGGATGGTTTGCTCCATGTTTAATGGTAAGGCTGGCAAAGAGTAGTAGTGCTTGTGTAGCTGTGAGGGTCTAAAATAATCAAGGACAAGGTTTGTAGGGAATGATATTATTTTTTGAATCAACTAATACCAAGAAATACATTATAATAATTAAAAAGACCCACTTTAGCCCTTCGTCAGGACAGAAGCAGAACTTGCAACCTCACACATGGCTGCTTCAAGCTTAGCTTGATTGTGTTGGCCAAGGAGATATTTTGGAGCAAAGGTGGTGGAGACCTGGGAAGTGTTGGCCAAGGCTAATTAAGTCAATAGCCTCAAATTATGTTTTTTTGTGGCTACTTCTATTTAGCATGAATGTGCAGTAGTTTATCAGCTGAACCTCCAGATGGAAACGGCACCTGGGAATTGTTTTGGGGAGCAAACGAGAGCCAGGCTGGGTCTTGAGGTCTCCGTGTGCTGCAGCCCCGCGCGGCTCGGCTGCAGGAGGCTCCTGGGCAGCTGCAGGCAGCGCACGTCGTTTCTGCAGATCCTATCTCAAAATCAGGCCCGGAGTTCATAGGCAGCTTCGTGTTTGGGTTTCCATTCAATATTCCTCGGCTTCGGTTTCCAAGACTACAAGCCAACATACAACCCCTCCTCCCACTCCTGTTTTCAAAGAAAGAAAAACACTGTGAAAAGAAGCCACCCGATTTCTGGGCAGTTTTCAAAGCGCCCTTGGAAGAAAGGCAGAGCTGGGAGCTGGGAGCTGGGAGCTGGGAGCTGGGAGCTGGGAGCTGCTCGCCCCACACTGCCCCTGTAAACTCCTGGCCAGGACATGGCTGCAGGAGCCCCTCGGCCCCAGGGGTTTCACCCAAGCGCCTTCCCTGCCTTTGGAAGCGCGGGGTACGATGAAAGGGTTCTGGGGACAAAACGAGGGAGGGGGGGAGTAATTAACCACCAAGGCTTAATTCAAACCACTCTGCAAATGCTGTTTTTGTTTGGAGATCCAATGGCAGGGAAGGAGCCGCAGCGACCTGCCGTGGCGTGAGCCCGGCTCGTCCGAGGGAGGCGGAGGGCTGCTGGGGCTCTGCGTGAGCCCGGGCTGTGCTCCCACCTCGGGGCCTCCATTTCTGCAATTTTGCTCCCAGAATTTTGCTGCTTTGCCTTAACCAGCATCATCCCACCAAGGTCCCCACGGCCCCGACTGTGCAAAAGTGGCCACTCAGCTGTGTCCAAGCCCTGAATTGGGCTCAGTGGGGACAGCACAGAAGAGGCCCCCATGGAGAAACCAGGAGAGATGCTCACGTGTGGCTGGATTGGTGTTTGGAAACAGAGCATCCACCTCAGGTTCCTCTTTTATTCCTGTTCTTTGGGACTTTTGTTCCCAGGCAATGTTAACGTGCTCTTTCCACTGGCAGGCCCTGGGCTTGGGGTGCCCTCTCCCAGGATGAAGGGAGCTGCTGCATGCTGGAGGGGGCTTGGTGACATTGTCCCCACTTATTAACGGGGTGAGCGTGACCCAGGGCTCGATGCAGCTGTCACACCGCCCGCATTTCCAGGACACTGTGAGCATAAACCGTGATGGTTGAGGAGCTCATGAGAGGATCCCTGCCCGAGCACCACCAGGAGAGCGGCTGGCAGCACGGCACTGCCCCCCTGTCCCACACCAGCCACTTTTGATCCAAACCAGCCCCAGGCACTGCAGGGAGGTGAGCAGCGGTGTTTGTCCGTGAGCAGGGTTATGGTGCAGGAGTTATTTTAATCCTGCCGTGACTCATGGCGAGCACACCATGACTCACCGCGGAGTTTGGTCGTTGGGCTGTTCTGAAGATGCGTCAGGTTCCCTGTGAAGGCACAGGATGGCGTTTCATGCAGGGAGAATGAGCTGCCAATTTTTTTGGCTGCCTAAAGCTCTGCAAACATGGGCCCAGCCTTGGGCAATTAGGATTAGGCACGGCACGGCATGGCACAGCACGGCATGGCACGGCACAGTGCGGCCAGCACGGCACAGCACATGGTGCCGCGTGGTTCCTGGCCCCCAGGAGGACAATCCAGGACTATTTGGACTATTTCTGCATTTCTTGGAAAACCCTGAGCAGGGTCCCAGGTGCACTGCAGAAGTCACGTTAGCCACTGCACCCATGTCCAGGAGCTTTAAAATGAACGTGGGCTTCATCGTGCCCCGCGCTCTGACATTGCTCACTGCCCAGGCACTTGGGGGCCTGCAGCGCTGCAGGCAGGATATTTACTTGGGAGCCAACACGGGTTTATGGCTCAAACTTTGGAAATCAGCCACCAGCACTCCTGCAGTGCCCCACATGTGGCAGAACCCCTCAGGTTCGCACAGGCACTGCCTGCCTGCTGGGCCAGGTGCTCGCAGCGCGATGCCGTTGGTTTGTGGGGAAGTTTGAGCTGCAGAAAACCAGCTCTAAGATGACCGAATTGTGCAGAGACCTTCAGGAGGCATCTTAGCACCGTGTGTGACGCGTAGGGGAGCAGCTCGTGTGCGGGGGGAGCTTTTGGCAGGTGTGCAATGAGCCCCGGCGTGGGGAAGCCGCCCTGCGGCACTGCGCGGAGCTCATTGATTACAGCAATAAAATTCGGATCCACTCCGCTCGCGCTTGGCTCTGACCCTAAATCGGGAATCAGCTTCTCTGCTGTCTGAGCAGGCCTGAAAACATTTCTGTTTTGGCAGCGCTCTCCGGCAAATAGCAAATCCTTCAGCCTCCTTCTTGGCACCGGCCGAAGCATTTTTGCAGTGATGGATTTTCTCTGCTGAGATTCAGAGAAAAGCGACCCCCGGTTCCGGGAATCCCGGCAGCACGGGTCGTTCCCTGGCGCGGGCAGAGCAGCGCGGGGGGCACCCCTGCCCACCCCCTGCCCGGGGGACTCTGGGGGTGCCCCAGGGCCCCCCAGGCGGGTGGGCGCCAGCGGAGGGGCCCCGGTTAGGGGCAGGGGGAGTGGGGACACGGGGGGGTGGCACCTGCGTGGGGCAGCTGCAGGCTCCCCACGGGCTGTGCTTGCAGTGGGGGGGCTGCCTGCAGCGGGGGGGGCGCCGTGCCATGCTATAGTGTGCTGTGCCGTGCTGAGCTGTGCCATGGTGTGCGATGCCATAGTGTGCTGTGCTATAGTGTGCTGTGCCATGGTGTGCTGAGCCGTGCCATGCTGTGCAATGCCAATGTGCCGTGCTATAGTGTGCTGAGCCGTGCCGTGCCATGCTGCACTGAGCCGTGCCACGGTGTGCTGAGCCGTGCCATGCTGTGCAATGCTATAGTGTGCTGTGCTGAGCCGTGCCGTGCCGACCCTCCCGTGCCGAACCGTGCCAGCCCGAGCCGTGCCGTGCCACGCTGCGCTGTGCCATAGCGCTCCGGGCTACGATGCCCCGTGCCGCGCCGCTCCGTGCCCACCCCCCCACTCCCCCCCGAGCCGTGCCCGTCCACCCCGCGCCGTGCCGAGCCGTGCCAGGCCGAGCCGAGCCCTGGGAGGCGGCGGCGGTGGAGGCGGCCCCGCGCTAATTGCATAATTGGGACGTCAATGCCCGCGGGAAGCGCGGGAAGATGGCGCCCCGCGCCCTGCCCCCGCCGCACGCCGCCGCTCCCCGTTGCGGCCCCGGCGGCCCCCGGGCGGGCGGGCGCTGACCCGGCCCGGCCCGGCCCGACGGCAGAGGGGCGGCGCGGCACCGAGCGGTAAGGGCACGGCTCGGCACGGCTCCGGGATTAATGGGGAGGGTGGGGGGGGGAGGAGGAGAGCAGCCCCGGCGGGGAGGGAAAGGGGACGAGGGCGGTGGGAGCGGGAGGGATGCGGGAGGGATGCGGGGGGAGCGGGAGGGATGCGACGGGACGGGAGCGGGAGGGAGCGGGAGGGACGGGACGGGGCTGGACGGGACGCGACGGCGCCGCAGCTCCTTTGAATGAGCCAATGGCGGCTCCTCGCCGCCGCCCGCCGCTCCCCGCCGCCGCCCGGCAGGTGCCGCCGGGGCTGGGGGAGCCTTACGGGGGGGGGGGACCGGACGGGGCGGCCCCGAAAACGACCCCGCGTTGGGTTGGAGCTGGGGCTGGGGGCGCAGCTCGGGACCCCCCGGTTGGGCGCTGACACGCGGCGGGCGGGCGGGGGCAGCTCCGGCCCCCGGGGGGGTCCCCGCGGCTCGGCCGCTGCCGGCGCTGAACGGGTGGCACCGGGACCGCACCCCCGGGGAAGGGAGGGAGGGAAGGGGGGGGGGGGGGAAGAGGCTTGGGGCTGGTTTAGGGGTGGCTCAGAGCGGGGCGAGATTTGCTGCAGGGAGGCGCAGCTGCCGGGCGCAGCCTCTTTGCCTCTTTTTTTTTTTTTTTTTTTGCTCCAAATCTTTGCGGGGAGCGAAGCCCGGCCGCTGGGTTTCAGCTTGCAGGTTGGGGCTCCCGGCTCCCCCCCTCCTCCGGCTTTGGGGAGCTTGTAAAACTGCAAGGAGACCGTCAAGTAAAAATTCACGTTAAGTTTAAAGCTGCAGATCCCCCAAAGGCACCCTCTGCAGGACGCGCTGCGCTCACGGAGCAGCTCGGGGCTGAGGGCGGTCGGGGTCCCTTTACCCCTGCTGGGCAGTGGCGAGGACTGAGGCTGCTCCGGCTGATTTCACAGAAATTACCCGTAGCTCAGCCCAGCTCATCCCTGTTGGCTCTGTGGGCTCCGAGCACTCCCTGCAGGGGCTGAGCTATCCACAGGCTCAGGTGCCCACAGGCAGAGCCCCCCGTGGGGCCGAGCACCTTGCCCAGCCGGTGGGTTCCTCGCATGACAGCGCGGTGACGAGCGGCTGCTGTCCCCCCCCCAGGCTCTGCTGATGGAGAACAGCAAGCTCAACCCCATCATCCGCGATGTCTACGCGGCCGCTGGCCGTGTCCAGCAAGCGCCGGCCGCCACCGCCGCGCGGAGGGGGGGCAGCTGCAGGGAGCTCATGGTCAAGCTGACGGAGGGGCAGTACGTGCTGTGCCGCTGGACCGATGGGCTCTACTACCTCGGGAAGATCAAAAGGGTAAAAGGGGGTCCTCAGAAGGGGAAAGGGGGTGCCCAGAAGGGAAAGTGGGCATCCAAAGAGTAGCTGGTGCAAGCGCCATGCCGTGGGGTGGCTCGCATGGGTGCTGGCCTGTGCTGCACTGTGTCTTTGGTCATTTGGGATTTTTGGGTTGACATGCCCTGGGTATCACCCCCAAAACCTGCCTTCCCGCAGCTCTCAGTCAGGGCAGTCAGTGGGGAAAACAGGAAAGTGCTGGAAATGGGAGTGGGGGCTCACCGATTCTCCCCACTCTGTTCCTGCAGGTGAGCGGCTCCAAGCAGAGCTGCCTCGTGACGTTTGAGGACAACTCCAAGTACTGGGTCCTCTGGAAGGACATCCAGCATGGTGAGTGCTGCCCCGTCCTCCCCTGCTGCCGGCATCCCCTTCCCTGCACCCCCAGCCAGTTTTGGAGCAATGTGGGGCGCAGCAGCCTGAGTGCCACAAGCAGTTGTGCAGGGATGTGGCTGTGCCCCGCTTATCTCTGACCCTGCATCTCTCTGACCCTGCCATCCTTATTCCACAGCCGGCGTCCCCGGGGAGGAGCCCAAGTGCAACGTCTGCCTGGGGAAGACATCGGGGCCTAGGAACGAAATCCTCATCTGCGGGAAGTGCGGGCTGGGTGAGTGCGGGCACATCCCCCTGCTTCTGCTGCATCCCATGCACCGTGGGTCCGGCCAGCCCGGCGGTGCTGATGCTGAGCCCTCCCGTAGGTTACCACCAGCAGTGCCACGTCCCGGTGGCGAGCGGCGGCGAGGGCCCACTGGGGACACCGTGGTTCTGTCGCCGCTGTATATTCGCCCTGGCCGTGCGGGTGAGTGGGGCTGCCGGGGGTGCTGGCTGCGTGTGCTGCCCGCTCTCGGTGGGGCAATGCAGGATGCAGCCCCCCCGAGTGGCTGTGCTGACCCCATCCCGCTCGGTCCTGCAGAAGGGGGGTGCCCTGAAGAAGGGAGCCATCGCCAAGACGCTGCAAGCCGTTAAGATGGTGCTGTCCTACAACCCCGACCTGCTGGAGTGGGACTCCCCGCACCGGACCAACCAGCAGCAGTGCTACTGCTACTGCGGGGGCCCCGGCGAGTAAGCACCCTGCCTGCCGGGAGGGCTGTCCCATGAAATTTAATGTGCAAAAACATTTGCAACACCCAGATGGGGTCAGGGTGGGGGTTTTTCCTCCGAGAGAGAAGTCCCCAGCTGGGGGACCATTCCCTGAGGCTGCCCACCCTGTGTCTGCGATCAGGAGGCACTGTTTGCCTCCACCCCTCTGGCTGCAGACAATGCCAGCCAGGGCCAAACTTCAGCTCCCTGGCTGGGGACGCCGGGGTGGTGGCTGCCACTTGTGCTGCCCTTGCTGTCACCCAGCTCCTCTCCCTCCCCAGGTGGTACCTGAAGATGCTGCAGTGCTACCGCTGCCGGCAGTGGTTCCACGAAGCCTGCACCCAGTGCCTCAGTGACCCCATGATGTTCGGAGACCGGTACGTCCTGGGGTCCCGGGGTCCCATCTGCATCTCCCCCAGCCAGCTGCGACACCAAGGCGGGTGCTACTGCAGCTCCATATTGGGGTGGGGGGAGAAGGGGTGGCCCCATCCCTCAAGTCCTGCTCCTCCTGGTCACAGTCACCCTCAGCACCCAGCACCACCCATCCCTAGGCCCCCACACGTGTGGGGATGATGCCACCACTCTTTATGTGCTCCATCCCTGCTGTTTTCCAGGTTCTATGTGTTTTTCTGCTCGGTGTGCAACCAGGGACCTGAATACATCAAGCGCCTGCCCTTGAGATGGTAAGGAACAGCCCTGGCTTCTTTGTGATGCTTTGAGGTCCTTGCTATGGGGTGGCTGTGGGGCACAGGGCTCACTGGTGCCCGGTGCTGCCAAACCCTCGCCTTGGGGCCAGCCCCAACGCCGGGTTTCAGCAGTGCGAGGTCGTGGAGCATCTCCCACACAGCGTGCTCCAAACCTGCTGGGTTGTCTGGGAGCCAAAGCACACGTTTGCCAGAAGATAATTGCAAAAAGCAATTAGGGGACGCGTCATCAAATTTTGTGATTAAATCCCAAGCTCATACGGTACCTTATGGTGCACCTTGGTGGTCCAAAAGCGCTTTATAAAAAGTACTGATGGTGCCAGCAGCCCAGCTTTTCCTTGCGGATGCGTTGGTGGTGTGAACGGGCTGTGGGGATGCTGCAGGGAGCGACACAGGGGAGCAGGCTGGGTGAGGGATAAGGGAAATCCTCCAGGATATGTTGCTTGGCTTTCATTTTTGGAGACGCAAATGTAAAGTCCCACAGGGGAGGCGGTTTTGTAAACAGTCTGTCTTCATGTGAGCGAGAGCCATCGTGCTCCTGTACTTAACGGCAGCAAGAGTGCGTGGCTGGAGCTTATTAAAACACCAAAAATCTGGGTGTTTGTCATGGGAGCAGCATGTTCTTGAGCTCCTGGTCTCAGGGAGCTTGCTTTTTGGGAATGTCCCCGTCCCTGAGGCACAGGGGTGCTGTGCTCTGGGCCATCACGCTTCCCACAACTGTGGTCCCGTAACGTCGGGAGTGGGCTGTGGAGGACATTGCACTGGGAGTGGGCTGCTGACCCCTGGCCTTGGTCACTCCTGCAGGGTGGACGTCGTCCATCTCGCCCTCTACAATCTGGGTGTGCAGAGCAAGAAGAAGTACTTCGACTTCGAGGAGATCCTGGCCTTCGTCAACCACCACTGGGACCCTCTGCAGCTTGGAAAGGTAAATGCCTGTGCTTGGGCGGGGCTGGGGGGCAGCAGCATGAGGGAGAGCCACTGATGGGGTGGCAAGTCAGGGCTGGCTGTCCCCAAAGCCGTGGTCAGGGTAATGGGGCCTTCCCTGTGGTGGCCGGGCTCGTGAGGCTGAGGCATGTTGGCTGGCAGGTGACGGGTGACCAAGGGATGGAAAAGGACATGTCCATGTGTCAGTGAGGCCGTGGTGCTGGTGGTCCTGCCCCAATGAGCGTGGACATCTCTGCAAAAACCTGTCTCATGGCACGGACCTGAAGGAGCCCGCAGCCCTGCTCATCCCCACAGCACTCGGTGTGGGGAGTTCATGCTCCAAGCTCACTTAATCGACTTTGCGATGGGATTTTCCTGTTTGTGATGTACCTGACAAGCTTCCCAGTCAGGGCTGGAGCTGGGAGCTGTGATAAAAGCGAGGCGTGTTGGACTCTGTTACGCCGCCGGCGTGGGTTTGCTTCCCTCGCTTTCTGCCGAGGCAGCCGGCGTGCGGGTTCCCCCGTCTGTTCGGTTTTTGCATAACGGCTGCAAAAACGCTGAGCCCGGCCTCTCCTCTGCCCCCACAGCTCACCGGCACCCCCGTGTCCGAGCGAGGCCCCCACCTGCTCAACGCCCTCAACAGCTACAAGAGCAGGTGAGCCCTGGGCATGGCCTGGGGGGAACAGGGCCCGGGGGGGGGGGATGCAGGATGCTCCTGTGCACCCTGTTGCGGTCCCCACCCTGGGCTGAGGGCTGTTTTCCTCCCCAGGTTTCTCTGCGGGAAAGAAATCAAAAAGAAGAAATGCATCTTTCGCCTGCGAATCCGCGTCCCGCCGAACCCCCCCAGCAAGGTGCTGCCAGAGAAAGCCCCGGGCACGAGCGAGAGCGGCTCCTGCGAGCTGAAGAAGAAAGGAAAGGGCAAATACGTCCACAAAGAGAGGTGAGCGATGAAAGGCGCCCGGGACCCCCAGCGTCACGGTCCCACAGCCTCACCCCCCCCTTGCCTTGCAGCCTGCTGCCGCGGCAGCTCCAGCAGCAGAAGCGGCGAGCGGCGCGGCGGAAGCGGGCCAAGTTCCTGCTGGAGGACGCCATCCCCAGCGTGAGTCCTACGATGCCCTGGCCCTGGGTGGGGAGAGCCCCCGTCCCTCATCCTGGGGCTGTGTGAAGCCCACCGGGTGCTGTAGGGCTGTGGGAGGGAGTGAGGTGCAGGCTGGACAGAGGGTGCTGAGCCCGGGTCCTGGGCCATATTGAGGGTGCTTGTTTTCACGGTGCAGAGTGACTTCACCTCCGCCTGGAGCACGAACCATCACCTGGCCAGCATCTTCGACTTCACACTGGATGAAATTCAGAGCCTGAAGAGGTGAGTGCCGCCGAGCCAGGCTTGAAGCCCAGGCGTGGAGACCCCAGCTGGGTTCCCTGCAGGAGCCTTCCCCTCTGTGGGGTCGGTGCTGGGGCCGACGCTGCCTCCCCTCCCCAGCGCCAGCTCGGGACAGACCTTCCTTTCGGATGTGGACTCCACGGACTGCCGCCAGCACCTCAGGCTCTGCCACCACCAGCCTCTCCTACGAGTCCAGGTGAGGGCTGTGCCCGCTCCACCCCCTTTCCAGTGGGGTTCCACAACTGAGGGAGAGGGGAGCGAGGGGCTGCCACCTCTTCCTCTGAAGCACCCTGAAACCCTCATCCCCTGCCCTGTGCCCCTCTCTTGCAGCCGGAGGACAGTGGGCAGCCGCAAACGCAAGCTGGCCGTGCCGGCCTACGCCTCAGCGGGGGCGAAGCGTCGAGGCGGGGAAGCGGGCGGGCGCCCAGCCGGGGGCACCCCTGAAGGCAGCGAGGCGGCCTGCGGCCCCGAGCGGCCGGACGATGGCATCGACAGCCACACCTTCGAGAGCATCAGCGAGGACGACTCCTCGCTCTCGCACCTCAAGTCGTCCATCAGCAGCTACTTCGGGGCGGCGGGCCGGCTGGTCTGCGGGGAGAAGTACCAGGTGCTGGCGCGGCGGGTGACGCTGGAGGGCAAGGTCCAGTACCTGGTGGAATGGGAAGGCACGACCCCCTACTGAGCCCCCCTGGCCCTGATTCCTCTCCTGGAGCGAACGTTGGAGGTGTGGGGCATGGTGAAACCCCTGGTGCACTGCAGAGGAGGCGGCACTGGCACCACCATGGCCGGGGTGGGCTCAGAGCCCCCCGTGTTTGGGGTCCCGGCTGCCTGGAGCCATGAGGGGTGCAGGCAGCGTCCAAACCTGCCCCCGTGCTGTGGGGTGAAACCTGCAGCCTTTTTATTGTATTTCATTGACAATTTTTACTTTATTGGCCGTTTATACGCGAAGAGAGACGCTTTCCTGCTTCAGCCTCTGGCCAAGCCAGAGGCACCGCTGCAGCGGCAGGGGAGCGGTGAGCGGCTCTGGTCTTTCCTGGCACAGGGGTGCTGCCCCGGGGCTGTCTGTCATGCAGGCAGGCTTCTTGGGCCTCCCAGTGCATCCCAGTGTTGCCACATCCATGCCTTAAACAGCAGCTTGGAGGGGGTCTGGGTGCCAAGCACCAGCCACCTCCACTGTCATGCTGAGGAGCCCGACGGCCTGTCTCTGCGCCCCCGGGAAATGGTGGGTGACTCTTGTGGCAGCTGTTGCTTGGGGTTTTCCTTCTCATCGTGAATCCATTCGTTTGAGGAATGCGGTTTGTTCTAATTGAGGGGAAGGTGCCTTGTGTCTGCACATGCAGATGTGTGTGGCGGCCCTCATCCTGCGGCTCGCACCCTGCCTGACAATCACGTTTTGGAACTGATCAGCCAAAACACACGCGCTTGCCTTAAACCACAGCAGGCACTGCCCGGACTGGAGCCCGAGGCCTTTATTGCTGCAGGAAACCCTGTCCTGCAGGTGCCAAACCAGCAGCCAAACCAAAAAGGCAGAAGAGAAGAGGAGGGGAGGCAGCACCGGGGCACTCCCCCCACACGCTGTTACTGGTGTGGGGTCGGTTCTTGCAACGTGGGTCTCTACTGACAGAGAATGAGCACCCCCTTCTTGTCTAAAGCAATACTGTCATATTCAGGAGCAAACTGTTGTCTTTTTTTAAAAAAATCTAATATCAGACATACCTGTTAGATTTTTTCTAAGATATTTTTATGTGTATTTAATGTTGCTCTCCTCTCTCCCCCACCACCACTGTGTCTGCCCCACGGTGTGGGTGAGCCGTGTGGTCCTGCTCTGTCTGCACGCCCTGTCCTTGTAGCATCATTGTTTGTATGTGTGCTTTTGTGATCTGCCAGCCGGAGGATGAATCAAAAAGGTTGTTTTATTGAAGAAGTGTTACTTAAACTGCTCGCCATGTGGCCGGGTGGTGCACTGTAAAGATGCAGAGTGAGGTGAGGCATGGGGTGTGAGGTGTCCTGCTGCTTCACCTCCAGTAAAGGCAAAAATCCACCGGTGTGACCAGCACTGGAGAGCAGGTGATGTTTGCAAACCAGAGGCCAAAGCATAGTCCTGGAAAATGGATGGCTGCTTCAGCTACTGCCACAGCAAGGTGGTGCGGGAGGCTGGTGGTTCGATGGGGAGGTGCCCGCAGGGCTCAGGCCAGGCGTGAGCTGCTTCAGCAGCTGTGCTCTGAGCCTGAATACTCAGCACAGCAAGTAAAAGCCTTTTAATTCCCTTCTGATGAGTTACCTGGCATTCTGCTTGGTGGAGAAGCTGCTGGTGCAGCGTGTGGCTGGGACACGAGGCTCTGCCCAGCTCCAGCCACAGGACGGTTTGAGCCGAGCAGGGTCAGGTGAGCTTGGGGAGAGGCTGCTGGCACCATCGAGGTCTGCATTCCAGCTCTCTGGGCTGGGATATGCTTCTGGGGAGCCCCTCGTCTTGAGAGGCATCACTGCTAAGCCCCCCATGCCTGGCAGGGATGGTGCAGCTCAGCCGGGTCCCTCCCCATCCTGCCAGCGTTGGTTGCCAGAGGAGCACTTACAGTATTTCCCTTTCACGAGTGCCTATGAAGCCCTTATTCTTGTCCGAATTGCTGCCCTGGGGAGGGGCTGGGGGCTGCCAAGAGCCATCCCAAGGCCAAGCAGGTTTATTCCCATGGGATGTGCCAAGGGGACATTGCACACATGGGTGCACCCATGCTGTAGTGGCCCCAGCTCAGCAGCTCCTCCTTTCCCTCTCCTCTCGCAGAGAACTGAATGTGGAGCCTTTAAAAATATTTTTGTTCCAGAATATATTTTGCATTAGTTGTAATAGATATTATAATGACTCTGTGCACCTTCTAAAGATTTATGATTTCAGGTTGCTGCTTGTAATAACCAACTCTTGTTATATCCAAGTTGTAATTAATATGTCTGATGTACAATTAAAAAGTCTTTTTTTTAACATCACTGGTTCTTTGTGGTACCAGGATTACTGAGTTAGGGCAGCTGGGGGCTGGGGGTCAGTGCTGTTGCTTTCTTCATGTGCTTTGCTCTTTTTTTGCCAGACAAAGTACCCAGCTGGGATCCTGCCGCTCCTGACTTAGCACTGGGAAGTTTCCTGCTCTCAGAGCTCAGACTGTTTTCCCTGTCAACTTCTTTCCTGCACCTGCTACCCCAATAGCTGATGGGGCCATGCAAATCTGTGGCCCAACACCTGCAAGGCTCCCTGTACCGCTTCTCCACCACCCGAGATGAGCAGGTTGGAGCCAGCAGAGCATCACCTGGCATCAGGCTGCAGGAAATTGCTGCAGAGCCCCGAGAGACCCTCCTGCCCTGCTCACTGTGGATTTGCACCCACAAACTGCAACAACTCATGCATCTGTGCAGGTAGGAACACTCCCGTTTATTCCTTTCGCTGTCACATAACTGACTTGGTATTGGTTCTTAAGTTACATCCAATTACGCTACGTGAACATCTTTTTACAAGGCTGAACTTGGCCTGGGTGGAAAGCAACCATCCAGGCACAGGTGGGGGACGCAGCCCCTGCAGCTGGGCAATGCCCTGCTCCAGCTGGCACCCGGGTTCCCTGATCTGGCAGCGGCTCAGCAGGAAGGGCACTGTCAGTGTGTGCGCTCACTGGGGCTCCTGGCAAGTGCCTGCAGCCTCTGCTCAAGTTTGCTCTCTGCTTGGATTTTGTCAGACGAGCCAGCAGGCTGGATGACAGCAGGAGAGGGCGTGAGCCAGTGCCTCGCGGGGTGCCTGGCCACATCCTGCTGCCTGCGGGCTGGGGAAGCAGGAGGCAGAGCGGTGCAGATGCTGTGACAGCTGCTGCAGCAGAGCCAGGGAAGGGTCTCAGGCGCCGGCTGCAGGACGCCTGGGGACTGCCAGGCCACGGCCACCACCTGGCTGCTGGGGGCCTGAAATATCCCCGGGTGCCGTGGGGTCTTGATGTGAGCACCTCTGGGTATCCTGTGGCTGCAACGCTGCAGCCCCTTGGTGCCCTTCCCTGCTGCCTCCAGGCTCGATGCTCCCTGCAGCACAGTGTCAGGCCAAGGAGGGGACATTTCAAGTAGCAAATAAAACTCCCAGTCCCAAGTTTCTGTGCCGTAGCAAACCCACAGGGATACAAGCTGCCTCCCTGCGTGTGCCTGCACAGGGACACCAGCGGGACAAAGCACATTTTGTCTCATCTCCCTGAAAGCAGGCTGGCTTCTGCACTCTTCCTTTAATCCCGTGGGACGTTTTCTTCTATCCATTTGAGGTAGAGAGGGTTTCCTTGGTCAATAGGCAGGCTGATGACTTCGGGAATTTCAAAGGGATGGATGGATCTGAAGTGGAACCAGATGCAGAGAACAGAGTCACGGACCCATCCCCGCGGCAGGAACAGCCCCGCGCCGGCTCGCAGGCGCAGGAAGCAGAGGTCTCTGCTCGCAGCGGCGCGTGTCAGCCGTGCCCCACGCGCCCCACCAACTTCAAAGCACTCGCCTCTCCTTTTTGCCATGTGAGGATTTTGCTTTGAGTTTGGGGTTTACCACAGCCAACAGCTGACTGCCAGGGGCCCTGGCTGTGCTCGGCGCTGGGGAGGGCAGGAAGCCTGCCGGGAGGCAGCCAGGCAGTGACCTGCGTGAGCAGAAGCTTGGTTGGAGCCCAGTAGCTGATACTCCTGCAAACCCATTCTGAGCTGATGCAGTGTCTGGGTTTTTAGGGCTCACAGGGTACATCCTGCAGCACTTGAAACCCTTCTAGGTAGGACCTGGCTCAGGGAGCCTGAATCCCAAACCCCGAGCATGAGCTGGCAGTGTACCTTGGATGGAAACCCCGTGCTCCCCGGAGCCAGAGCCTCACCTGACGTAGTTGGACAATTCGCCTATTTTGGATGTCCTTGTTTTCACTAACTGCAGAGAATAAGAGAAAAAAAAATTAATTTGCCGTACCCACAGTGGGGTGATTGGGATCCCTAAGAGCAATCCCAAATCTCAGGCAGATTGGTGCCACCCTCCCCAAAACACCCTGTAGCTCCTTTTGGCTTTTGGGCTTGGGCTCTCTAGGATGTGTTTTTTTATGAGATAAGGAATTGTCACTTACCAGCAGTATTTCTGTGGATTCTTCCAGTTCCCCTTTCCAGAAATACCTGTATTTAAAAGAGAAGAATAATCAGTGAATACAGCTATAGGTGCAGCCATGCTGATCCCCCTGGGGGGTTCAGTTTCCCTGCTTGATGCTATCTGCACATATCCCCTAAAAATCTGCTGTCCTTGTGACTGAGCCACCCTCGCTGTGCCAGGTTAAGGTTGCTGGGGGCAGCAGGACAAGGCAAGGTGAGGGGCTGGGACTGGAGCCAGGGACTGCGATGTGGGCATCTGGCTCCCTTTGTCCAGCAGGGCCAGATCAAGAGTACTGGCTGTTTTGGGGTTTTGCTGCTTAACCTCTCTAAAACAAGGGCAATCCCTTTGCACGGATGGCTGGGGATACCTAAGGTGCCTGGCTAGCTTTATTCTGAGGTAAAAGATACGTTCTTCCTTCCTGGAGGTACTGCTTAATATCCCAAAAGCCTTTACGGTCCCTATCCTAGCTTCTTTTTAGGTTGTCTACAAACAGGAGCTGCGTCCTCAGGACCACAAATCACCCTACTGGATCTCTGTAGCTAAGTAACCAAGAAATAAATGGTCCCTGCTGGCAGTCAGGGCATCTGTGCTCCTTAATAAGCTCAGTGCACTCCTGCACGGGTGAGGAACATCTCAGCCACCCCCAACAACCACCAGAACATGTGCTTCCATGTCCTGGGAGCCTCAGGGGCCCTCCTCCTCTTCCTCCTCCCCAGCAGCCCGGGGTTGCCTCCTCCTTTGGGAATTCCCAGCCCAACTTACAAGGCCGAGCTCTTCGGCAGGATGTTCACGTAGGCAGCCAGTCTCTTGTCCATGATGCCCCTGGGTGAAACAGGAGGGAGTCAGTGCCTGCCCCCGGCCGTAACAGCCGGGGCTGGGATGGAAGCTGGGGGGTTTGTCTCCCAGCCACGTATATATGTCAAGCTGTGCTTCTTCGTCGCAGAGCGAACTAAATGTGGAACTTGTTGATTTAACAACATCAAGGGTTTTCTACCCAAAATGTCCTAGAAATCCGAAGCCTAAATAAACTCCTTCCCCCGTGCTTCCTCCTTTAGTTGTGGGCTGATTTGTTTTTGCAGAGCTGCTTGGCCTGCCAGCAGAAGTGGTATTTAAGTGATTAAATAGTATTGAAGCAAACTCGGGGTGGAATTTTGGAAGAACTAGGTCAAATGCTGTATTTGCTGACCACAACAATGTCTGGGCCCTTCTGTCGGTGGTGGCAGCCTCGTCCCTCCTGCAGGCGCCTCTTACAGGCTCTGTGCTGGTGCCTTCACCTTTCTTTAACACTGGCCTTGCTGGGAACTGTTCTGTACCGAGGGCTTGAACTGTGCAAACGCTGAACTATTGAATGATCTTGAACTGCAGAGAAGATGACAGTTATTAGATATGGGAAGGCTCGATTCAACACCCTGCAAAAATTAACCCTGAGTGAGCTAAAGAATCGAACCCATTCTGTTTAACTGCTGCTTCAATCCTTACACCCAGGTTATGATACAGGACGAAGGTGATGGCAAAACAAAGTATAAGAAATCTTAGCTTTCAAAAAGACAGCCTGAACTGTAAAAACGACAGACTCGGTCAGTGGTGAGTGCGCTGCAGGAGACGAGCAGAAGACAGCCTGGCGGGGTGCTAATGTGCAGTTGCATCATGTATTGTAATCTGGCCTCTGACCCAGAAGGAAGGCTGGGCTCTTGTCTGAATGTGTATTAGCTCCCTTGCACATCGGTGTTAGCGGCCTGCCCTCTCTGTCCTTTTGCAGCACTTCATACCTTGCCCAGGTGAGCCTGTGGGGCACAGGGAGGCAGCGGGAGCAGCCCTGGAGCTGCGAGGAAGCAGCTCTTCTCATGGCTCTTACACAGCCTTGCCACCACAGCAGTGACTCTGGTCATGATAATGATCTTTGGGGTCTCGAGTGGTCTCCAGAATTGCCCTCCTGGTCTGTGGCTGCCAGCTGTTGTGGCAGGGAGGCTCTGGGGAAGGGGCAGTGTGGCCGGTGGCTGGCTGAACCCCTGGCGGTGCTGACACCACAAGAGGAATCCTACAGCAGCACCGTCAGAAAGTCACAGGATGGGTAAGTCACTGGCAGTGCTCCCACAAACCCAGCAGCACCCCGAGACACCTGGGGAGGGGACCAGTGAGCTCCCTGGTGCATGGCCACAGCTCAATTACCTGCTGGATTTAATGTCAAAGCTCGGCAAGGTGGAGCTGCGTGTCCCTCTGCTGAGGGGCCGCGGAGGAGGACAGCTGTCCCCGCAGGCCCTGGGTTGTTTGCTCTAACCACGTGTAGCCAGCACGAGTCATTTAATGCTTGTAAAGCATCTTGAGTTAATCTGTGGACCAACAAACTGCAGCAGCACACAGGGAGATATCCCCGCTGCGCTTATCATGTCAGACACATGGCGCAAATCACTTTGTTTTGCCATCTGCAACTTCCAAGCCACTTGAGCGCAGGAGCCTTTTCGATTTGGGTGAGTGCCTCCTAATTACTTCTGCTTTGCCCCCAATAAATGGTGATCTTAACCGATATCTTGAACTTTGTTCCAGCAAGCTGAGCAGAAACGAGCAGCCACCATGGTAACGGGAAACATTCTAAGAAGCTGAACGTGGTCTGTGGAAAACGTCTGCATAATAGATGGTATCTTTGGGTTGGGTACTTAATGCGTGTTTCTTTGTCCCTGCCTGACTAAACTACGGGCTCTGAAATGAGACAGATGAAATATTAATAAGCAGAAAAGCCAAGAAAAAAGATACACACAAGTCTGAGGCAGAGCCAGAGGCTCACAGGCTGCTCAGGTGTTAGATGAGCTACGTGAGATGCAAGAGGCTGCAGCATCCAGCCCTGGAGGGGCCAACTTCTCACAGCGGGCACAGGAGAGAGGCTGGATCTTCTGGGTGGGCTAGGGCTCTCTTCTGAGGATTTTAAGTTATCTCATCCAGATAAACTGGGTTAGAGATGGTGCAAATGAACAAGCCAGGTGCTGAATTTTACCTATAGTTAGTCTGTTTTCACAAACCCTGAACTTTTCCTTAAAACCAGCAGACAATTTCCTTGCAGTCTGATCCTTCAAAGTAATTGCTCCTCCACTGAGCAACATAAAAGAAGAATAGACATGACAGTACCAGGAAACAGGTGGGTGGGAAAATGAGCGTAGAAGCCCTGTGTCATCCTTTACAAATGTTACTCATTCCTACAAATTCCAGAACAAAAGAAGAACTACTCCACCAGTAAAAATGCAACCAGAGTACATAAATCTCAGCAATGGGGTGTGATTTATTTCCTCTCCCTTCCCTGCAGGATAATGATCAAAGAGTGGAAAACTTTTGCAAAGCTGTTAAGATTAAACATTTTCAGGAACTGAGGGATCTTTTCAGCAGTCACGTACAGTTACTCGTTTTTCAGAAGACATCCAGCAGTACAAATATAATTCTAGTTGAATTTCTTAATACAGTTAAAGTATTTAAGGTGACACAAAATCCCTTTCAGTAGCCGGTCAGCTCCTGAACGGCTGCTTGGGAACGGTCAGCTATTACAGAAGACGGGGAGAGTTTTTGGCAAGCAGGAGCGCAGCAGGAAAAACAGCTCACAGGAGGTGTCGCAGGAAACTTAATGGTCCATCATAAACATTTCCCCAGTCAACACAGTTTCAGTAATTTGAACAAACCATCTATTGAGTCAGGGACCGATGGCTATGTGGAAAAACTGCGTGCAAAACATCGTGCAATGCATGTGATACATTGAAAGAGGGAAAAAAAAATCAAGGTAAAGCCCTCATTCCTTGAAGTTTGTTTGGTGAGCAGCATGCAGACTTTCAGGTGGTGTCTCACAAGTGCCTGCTCTGTGTTTTCTGTGGACCACTTCTGCTTTTGTTTATTTTTATGTTAGTGCACAGTGCTTTATAGGCTCTCCATAAACACTTATTCTGGAATTTGTTAACTGTGTTGTTCAGAGAAGAAGGAAGATTATAGCACATCAGAGAACATGGGGCTGGGGCTTCATCCGAGGACCCAGAGATTTAGGGACATGGCTTTAAAACTGATCTTGAAAATGAAAGGCAATGGAATAAATTAAGAATTAGCTTGATGTGTTACTTAGCACTGACTTCAGAGGTAATTATCAGCTTGCTTTTAGAAAGCACAGCTCTTGTTAAGTGGATATGTGATACAGAGAGAGAAAATGAAAGGGAGTATAGGAGAAAAGGAGCACTTTTCGGGCAGAAATGTGAAACCCCTAAACCAGCAGAGAAGTGCAGCTCCTCTCAAGGGACAAGGAAAAGCTTTATTCCACACAAAGCTACTTTCGAATAATTCAAGCAGACAAGCAGGGGAAATTTCTCTGTACCTTGCAATGTCCTTGGCAATCTGCTCGTTGAGACAGTTGATGAAGGCAATGGAGTGGGTCCCAGAGATGTAGCTGCCAGTGACGGCAGCGTGCATCTGGAGAGCAAGACTTCTCAGCACTGGATACATCAGTAAAGACAGAGTCATCACCTAAAATGCAAAACATGAGTGCTGGTGTAAAGTAAATTGTTGCATTTCCTAAAAATAAGCATTTACCTTACCTCTGGCTCAAAAGAAGCCTCCAATCTTCTTTCTTTCAACATTACAGTAATGCTCATTGAAATTTAAGTGAAAACATACGGAGAGATTTATTCCCCTACAATGGGGCCAATCTAATACTGTGCCACGCTGCCTCTGTTAAACTGTGGTTCTGTTTCAAAAAGGAGCGAGAGGGGAACCACACGAGGCTTGGCTCCCACACCAGGCTCATCTACTTTCCTGCTCAGGACACATCCCGCAGCCATCTGCTTGCTGTACGTCCAGGGTGAAGCACATTGGGTCCTCTGGGAAAGAGGGGGGACAGAACCTCAGCCTTGCTGGGGATGTGGAAGGAGGAAAGCAGTATTTCCAGGAGAGGTGGGAGTCTGGATAATAGATTCTGTGCAGGCCCTGGAGAGCTTTAGTCCTTTCCTGCAAACCCAGAACAATTACTGCATTCTGCTGACAGATGCTTCACAGTCCACCCAGGCTATCATGCAGCCCTCGCATAGCAGGCAAGGGAGGGCAGGACTTAAATGTAGGTTTAAAGTTCATTTCATCTTAATTAACAGATAAGAATAGTACAGTCAAATTCAGTCCTTTCAGGCACAGAAATCCTAATTGACACAGCCAGAGCCTGTAGGGCTGCAGAAACAGTACTGCTCTTTCTGTGTACTGCCAGTACAGGGGCAACAAGTTGTTTTGCTGTACATCACATCCCATTCCTGGCAAGCCCCTTGGCTGCTCTTTCTACTCACATGCCACAGACACGGTCACACAGAGATGTAATACATAAATTATCTTGGCCGGGACGTTGCTGAAATAGCAAGGTTAATTTGGTGTGCTGAGTAACAGCAAAAGGATGGGTGCCTGCGCGCTGGGTTGCAGCACTCGCTGTCGCTGCACAGCTGCTCTTCTCTTTGTCTCTTGTCTTGTTTTTTAAATAAACAGCATCTGGCCCTTAGTCAACGACAATCATGAAAAGGTTTTGATCAGACTAAGAAGACACTTTTTTTTTTTCTTCCCCTTATTTCCACCCTCTGAAAAAACTTGCATTACAGGGCTAATGTCAGAGATTTTTTTTTCTTTCAAGATTGAATTAAAAAAAATATCTCTCTTGTCACCGCAAAGACAGGAAGTCTTTTCTGTTTGTAAAATGACCGATGCTCTTTATTAGTTGTCTCCTCTTTTTCAATCCATTTGAGGCAATACTCTTTATTATCACAAGGTTTCTCATAATAATTTTTAGAGCTTCTTTTGTGTTCTTTTTTTCCACTAAGCCATTTTACAAGTACTGCGCAACAAATCCCAGAACCCACTCAGAGAGTTACAAGCCAGACAGAGATATGCTGGTGTATCTACTTTTCCAGATTAGGATGTAATCATGTTCTCTGCTTAGGAAAAAAATCTGACCCGTTCAGCATGGCAATCAGTAATCTTCTTGGAAAGATGTGTGTGCATGTGACGAGGAAATCCCCTTGAACATTTGCATTGAATAGAAGTATAACAGTGAGCACCCGCTTGGTTTTTTGTTTGTTGGTGTTTTGTTGTTATTTGTTTTCTGAAAAGAAAGATTACAGCACTATTCGATTCTTTTCTCGGAATAGTTGTATTTGCCAAGGGATGGTGCAAAAGTGAAGGATGGAAACTTCAGGATTCCCACCTGATTAAACCAGATATACTCATGACTGCCAAGAGGTTAAAGCGAACAAAGCTGACAAATCCACCGTGCGATTGTATGTCACTGAAAAGCACTGATTGGCACAATGACAGCCGAGTTTACAGAGACGAAGATTTTTGCAAGATTTATTTGTTTTGGCTTTAGCGAACCACAAACAGCTCCGGGGACCAAAATCACCAGGTTAGGGCTTTCCCTAAACGCCTCTAGCTTGGACGAGACACTGTACAAAAAATAAAAAAAAAGAAAAAAAGAAAACCAACCAAACCAAACCCGCCCCAAACAACACCGCAGCTGGTGGCAACCTCCAGACCCCCTCAGCACGGGTGGAAACAACCCCAAAAATTCTCTTTGAGACAACGCCTTCGCCCCTTCCCCTTCGTGCACCCCCGGGCTCCGACTGCCCCCCCCCCGGCTGCCCCCGCTCCCCGCCCGGGCTCCCACTTACCAGCAGCACCGTGCCGCGGCCCGGCCGGGGGCAGCCCTGGGCGGCGGGCAGGGGGCAGCGCTGGCTCAGAGCCTCCATCGGCCCGGCCGGGAGGGAGCCGCGGCCCCGCCGAGCCTCCTCCACCTGCTCTGCCCGGCCCGAGGCCGCTGCCCGGAGGGGGGGAGCCCGGCCATGGCTCCTCCTCCGCGGCCGGCGGGCGGCTGCTGCCCGGCGGGGCTGGGGCACGGAGCGGCCACCCCCTACACACACCCCCCCTTGCCTTCATCCTGCCGGCCCCCGGGGGGTTTTTGTGATTCTGGCGGTGTTTGCTTGGGGTTTGGGGTTGTGGGTTTTTTTGGGGGGTTATTGGCTTTGGGTTTTGCTTTATGTTTTTTTTTTGTTTGTTTGTTGGTTTTTTTTTTTTTGGGGGGGGTTGCTTTTTGGGTTGGTTGCTTTGGGTTTTGCTTAATGTTTTTTGGGGGGGTTTGGCTTTTGGGGTTTTGTTTTGTTTTCCCTCAAACTTATTTTGTTTGTTTGTTTGTTTATTTGTTTATTTATTTATTTTTGAGACTTAACATTCTCGGCGCTTTGCATCCTTTGGGCATGAAACTGTTTTGGCATTTTATTTTGTTTTCCCTCAAACTTACTTTGTTTATTTATTTATTTATTTATTTATTTATTTATTTTTGAGACTTAACACTCTCGGCGCTTTTGCATCCTGTGGGCATGAAACTGACAGAAAGCCGGGAACCTTACCCCGACCTGACACCACTTGAACACCACTCCCACCAGCGGGGGGGGGGGGCTGCCATCTACCCCCCGTACATTACCCCCTGTCCCCCCGGGGGGTGCCTACTCTCCTCCTCAGCCCCCCGAGGGGGGGTCCCAGCCCTACCCCCCGGCAGCACCGAGCCCCCCACACCCGGGGCCGGGCCGTCTCCTAGCAACGCCCCCAGCGCAGCCGCCCAATGGCCGCGGGGCGGGTGGCGGCCGCCATTTTGTTTCCGGCGGTGGCGGACGCGAGAGAAGCCCTTAGCAACGGCGCGCGCGGTTGCCAGGGGAGGTGGCTGCGGCTGTGGCGGGCCCCGGGGCGGCGCGGCCAAGATGGCGGAGGCGGTGGCGGAGCTGCTGGAGCGGGCGGCGAGGCGGGGGGCGCCTCTGGAGGAGCTGCGAGCCCTCCGTTTGGCCCTGCAGGCCGTGCCGCCCGCCGCCCTGCGTGCCCGCCTCAGCGACGACCACCTGGGAGCGCTCTTCGGCCTCCTCAGCGTCAACGACCGGTGAGCGGCCCGGCCCAGGCCTGTTGCTGTCGTGCCCTGCTGCCTCCCCTGTCCCCCTTCCCCTGCTCCCTCAGCGCCTCTTTCATGTCCTCTGTCCCCTTCCCTGTCCCCCTCCGCGGTGGCACGGACGAGGAGGTGGTGCTGAAGGCCCCGTGGCTCTCTCTGTCCCGCCCAGGGAGCAGGTTTCTACGTGTGTTTCCATCCTGGAGAGGCTCCTGCAGGCCCTGGACCCGCTCTACGTGATCCAGAACCTGAAAGAAGAGCTGCAGAAAGGGCTTTTCCACCCCGACGACTCTGTGAAAATTCTCACCATATCTCAGGTACAGGTTTTGCTCCAGGGTGTTGCAGAGCTGCGTGGTGGGCCAGGCTAGGTTTGTCCCAATCTGTTACTGGTGTTTTGTGGCCTAAATTGTGACTAAAACACTACATCGTGTATTATCTGGGGGCTTGTGCTCTTATACATGGTTTTGGATAGTTACTGTGCGTTATGTCAGTATATAATGCTTCATGGTATATCTATTAAACATAATATTTGAAGCTGTGTCTTGACAGAAGTAACTTGTAACTGAATCTTCTGTTTGTTGTGGGCTGTCATGTATTCTGGGGTATGCATTCTAAGCCAGCGCTGACAGCAGGTGCTGTAAGAACTAAATGTAGCAACGTTTTAATATTCAGGATGCTTGGAACAGCATCAGAAAACACTGGGGAGGAAGGGAGGAAAAGGCTTAACTGAGTTCATATTTGTTGTGTTGTGTTGAAAGAACAGAAGTGTGTAATGGTGTGCTTTGGGATGGAGCTCTGGTGGTTTCAGGTCCAGCCCTCAGCTTACAGCAGGCTGCTCAGGGTGTTGTCCAGCTGAGTTCTGGGTGTTTCCAAAAATGGTGATTCCATCTGACCGGGTAGCTATTCTAGTGCTGGCATGTCTGTGTGGAAAAACTTTGTTTTGGTATAATTCAACATCGTTGCTTAATATTGCCCTTAGATTGGGAGGATTGTTGAAAATTCAGGATGCTGTTAGAGAAATTCTCAACAGTCCTGAGCTGTTACGGCAAATAATAAATTGCATCGGTGGAGAGAAAATAGCAGTGGCTAAAGAGGTAAGCATTGCTTTCTTTTTTTTTCTTCCTTTACAAATAAATGTAGACATGGCATAGGATGCTTTTTCTACTGTTATTGAGATAGCAGCCTTTGCTCTCCTTTAAAAGGAGAGATCATGTGGCTTGAAAGATGATGTTGTAATCATGTAGGTGGCTTAAGCCCAGGAGTTTCTTAAATGTGATTTAAAAAACTTTACTCAATCCTGTTATCTTCCAGTAGCTGTTGATGCAAAGATGAACTTACAGGTCTGCATCTGATGCCAGAGGCTTGTATCACAGTTACCATAACTAGCCCTTGTCAGCAATACGAAAACTTTAATGGAAAAGTGAATGAAAACTAAAATTGTAGATGTTTAACATGATTTAGTATCTTCAAAAGAACACTGAAACTGTCTGATCGTTCTGGATTTTCTTCCCTTTGTGTTATTCTTGTAGTAAGCTACTGTTTTTGTTTACAGGCCATCAAATCTCTCTCAAGAATAGCGCAGACACAAGAGGGCTTAGAGGCTTTATTTGTGAGCAGTTTGTTGAGCGACTTGAAAAATGTTATGGCAACGAATGATGTTGTTCGATACAGAGTGTATGAGGTAGGAACGAGATCAACATTGTCCTTTTGAATGAAGTTGTCATTCAAAAAAGTTCTCTTTGACTGTGGTTCTGAATTAGTCTGGCTTTCGCAACATGCTTTTAACTTAGCATTCATCACTTTTTAACTGCTTCACACAGTTTTCTTCATGTCTATGCTTTGTCGAGACTAGAAGGGAGCAGGAAGGGTACTGCACTGTTGGTCCTCAAGTAATGTCAGAACTTCTCTTTCTCAGTTTATGGTAGGAGGGTGTGAAGAACTGTTTACATCTTTTATTTTGTAACTTGTAGTGCTTAGAACATCGGAGGGGCGACACAGAATGACTAGCGATGCAATTAAATGCTTGCCTCTCTGAAAGTGAGGGTAAAATACCATCTGTGATCTCATTACCACTGGAGGTAAAGAGCTGTTGAAAGCTCAGAAGGGGGAAGAGACAAGATACTAAGCATGTTGATCTAGATATGTGTGACAAAAGAGAAATAATACAGTTCAGCTGTTCTAGAGCTTAATGAACATAGCAGTGACGATGCCTTGAAGACAGTTTGAATAGAATCAAATGTCAACTTGGAATGCTGTATGAGCCTGTTTCAGACAAACATTTAGATAAATAAAGAATTTCATGTTTTCATAATTTAGTATTTAAATAATTTGTGTTATAAGATGTATTTGGTCGTTATTGTGAATTGTTACCATTACAATGTTTTTATAAACCAGCCTTTTTTCCCCCGGTGTTTTTATTTAGTTAATTGTTGAGATTTCTTCGGTGTCAGCAGACTCGCTCAGTTACTGTGCAAACAGTGGATTGATATCGGACTTAATTGGAGAGCTGACTGGAGATGATGTACTGGTCAGGTATGTTACAGCGAGTTTGAGATTTCCCTAATTGCTAAACAGTGACGTTTGGTCTTATTTTAAATAATTCTTTAGACACAGTTGTGTTCGTTTCTCATTAAACCCTTTAAATTTGAGAACCAGGATGAAATTTCCTTGATATGCTGTGGTAGTTGTAATGTTGGGTTGCAATGTAAATACTCCTGGAAAGTTGTCTGTCTTTACATATATCATCAGAAAGCAGAGAGAGCTTGGATGAGTATTTCACAGCTGTGGTTTTGTTTTTGTTCTTTGGTTGGTTGTTTTTTTGTAAGGGTAGAAAAACTTTGTATGCTTTCTTGATCTCTCTGTACTTCAAAAATCTGTCTGAAGGAGGTCAAACGAATTTTTTGTCTGTTTCAGAGCTACGTGCATAGAGATGGTGACCTCGCTGGCCCATACTCCGCATGGACGTCAGTACCTTGCTCAACAAGGAGTTATTGATAAAATTTCAAACATCATCATCGGTGCAGAGTCTGATCCTTTCTCAAGCTTCTACTTACCAGGTTACATCATGCATTTCTTATTTCCATTGGTTATTGCTTGTATTCATTAGTATGTTAAATGGGGAGGACTACCAAGCCTGTTCTGGAGGCTCATGAATGTTTGAGTAGTAGAACACATGTTGGGCATGCACAGCGTGCTGAAGGACAGTCTAATACATGAATCATTCATTTAGAGTGGGTAGCAAAGGTAAGATCTGGAGGGACTGTACCAGAGGTTTGAGGTTTGTCTTCTTGTAGAGGTTTTTTAAGAAGACAGAAGTTGCATCATGAATTAAGTAGCTTTTAAAAGATGAATACATCTTGTCATAGAAAAACTGTACTCACCTGGACTGTGCAAACACTGTGTCCAAGTTGTGATGCTGTCTTTTGTAGTCTTAAGCTTCTTTTGGCTTGTTCTTAGTTCCTTTCACAGTGTTAATAGCATTTAATAGTGAATCAGTTAACAATTAAATACAGTTATAAGTGAATAAGTCTTATGTTCATATATAGTTAATTTTGACATTCTTACGTTGTTACTCCACTCTGAATACTTTTGTTTTCTCTTGTTCTATCAGGTTTCGTTAAATTTTTTGGGAATCTGGCGGTTGTAGATAGCCCACAGCAGATCTGTGAACGATACCCTATCTTTATGGAAAAAGTCTTTGAAATGGCAGAGAAGTCACGATCCAACCATGATTGGAGTGGCTGTGGACACATTGGGAATCCTGGGATCGACTGTAGAAGGCAAACAGGTTTTACAGAAAACTAGTTAGTATGATTTTTTTATTTTTTTAACAAAATAGTCTCAGTGTATCATACAAGAGCAAGCTGATAATGGTGTAATGGTGAGAAAAGAACTGAAAAACATTTGTCTAATAATCAAGGGGGTCTCTTCGAATAGCTGTGGTGTA